CATAAAATAAAAAATTTATATCTTTATGTTTGAAGCCTGAAATGTGGCAAAAGGTTGAAAAGTTCAAGGGGGCCGAATACTTTCGCAAGGCACTGTATTCAATAACGAAGAGTTACAAACCAAGAGGGACATACATTCAGTATATCATTCATTTAGACCGTTTTGTAAATTAACTTGGTTACAACTTCTACACTAGATACTCAAAAGTAAGTACATCACTCATAGGAAATAAATTGATATCAACTCAGGTTGAGGTAACAATTGAATTCTCGAGCTGTAATGCAGAATGTTGAATACTTATCCGATCTTAGTGGATTCAGATCTCCCGCTGACACAAAGAAGCAGTGGCAGGCTTCTTGCTGCGTCCAATCTGCGGAAAACCGGCTAATTAGTTCTGGCTTACTAGCAGAGGTTGTGCACAGGAGAAAAGTGACTGTGGGTACAAACAGGTCACACTCTTTAGATAGGAAGAAGACAGGTTCGTTCCTGATGTAGTGCTAGATCTGAATAGTGATTTCAGCTGTCCACAGTTCCGACTGTAGTTCACTTGATAATCAGGTGAGCATTCGTGGTGGGTTCATGAGGCTTGGTGCTGGGCTAACCTCGGGTGGATCCTTTGGTTACGCGCTGGCGACCTCCATTCTTGACTCTCAAAACAAAAGTCCCGCACTCAGACACACTGGCCGTTACGTGATTTTCCGAGCTGAGTCTGAGGATGTCCAGGAGGAGCAGAGTCTGAGAAATGTCCAGGAGGCGCTGAGGCGCTGACTCTGTGCTGCCTGTTTTACCTGGAGGAACTATGGTCGTTCATTTCAACAGGCGTTTGAAAGTTTCATGGGCATCCAATACCCACGTGGGGTTACCCTGCCCTACCAGTTCCTGATTGGCTGATGATGAGTAACAATGCACTCTGACCTTAGAGTTGTTAACAACTTGGGATGAGACTCCCTTGGAATTTCCCAGACTTTAAGGCACCAGTGATGACCATTTATTAGGATTGCTGGAGAATCTCAGCATTGGGAGTTCTTCCTTATCAGGACACTCTATCGGCTAGAAAAACACCTTAAATGTGAACCAAATGGAATGGCCTCTCTGTATCAAGCACCACTGAGATGAAGGAGAAAGGGAGTGGCAAGGGAGCAGCAAACTTAATTCCTGTACTTTAATAAGCCTTGCCGCTACAACAGTATTTAGAGCTTCTTGCCCAACCTCATCAGTTCTAAGAAGTTAAAGATGTGCTTGGTCATTACTGGGATAGGAAACTGTGAAAGCAAAAAAGGTTACTCCTGTTTGTGGTTTACTGGACAGGTAGATGGCAATTATCCCATTGAGCAGAATGTCCAAAACAATACCTGAGTATGATGAATTGGGACACTGTTGTACTTTGGATGAGGAATTAAACTGTTTTTCTGACTACTAGGTAATTAAAATACCTGCAACACTATTCAAAATCATAGGAGTGTTAACCAATGTGTCCTAGATACATTCCACTCTGGGCTTTTCCTGACAGGTCTTTAATAAGTCCCCCCTTAATTCAAGTTGTGAAACCATTCCTCACTTACCTAACTGATGTGCTATGTAGTAAGGCTGCTCTGTGGCCTCGCTGATGTCACGCAGATTTGATGTAACTTCATTGGTGGATAAAGTGGGTGCCTTCTTATTACAGTATATATGTAAATTACTTTGTGACCTGCATATACGTTTGTATTATTATTTATTAAAATGTTATTTTCATTTTTTCTAGGGCCTTGTTATAGAACGAGTTGGTAGAAGACAACTTCTCATTGCTGGCTTTGGTGCTATGACTGTGTGCTATGGAGTACTAACAATTTTTCTTAACTTCCAGGTGTGTATCTTACTTATTGTTTTGTAAAAATGAAAAGTGCAAAATCAAATAAAAATCAATATTTGAAACTACTACATGTAGCCAGTTTCATAAGATAATAAGATCTTCAATAAGATAATTTATAGTGCCAGATTCTAGTCTCTGAAATCTAAAATAAAGTTTTAGTCTTTGATCGGTGCTCACAATAAACTGTTCACCAAAGTGTGTAACCTTTGGACCATATGCAATTTCTTGTATTAGGAATTTGTCTTTTTGCATACCCCAACTTGCTCTTGATGAGACACACAGAGAGGAAGAGAAGCTTGGGGTCAGAGCACAGGGTCAGCCATTTATACGGTGCCCCTGGAGCAGTTGGGGTTAAGGGCCTTGCTCAGTAGGAATCCTCTGCTGGCCACGGGATACGAACCAGCAACCTTCCAACCATAGATCCTTAGTCAAACAGCCACCACACCACCCCTTGTTTGTAAGTCAAGTTAATTTAGTCAAGTCAGGTCAGGCAAGTTTATCAAATATTACTGTGGCCACAGACTATCAAGAAATATATAAAATACTGTATGTATAAAATTCTTTCTTTTGCATATTGTAGCTCACAGCCCTACTGGGGAAGACTATTTTTACAAATAGGGGGTTATGCAAATAGAGATTTACCACAGATAGACTGAGTACAATAATCAATTAAAATAAATAATCATAAACCCCAAATTATAAAAGATATGCTAAGAGTTTAACCAAGCGGTTGGTATAATTAAAGGCATTTGAAATCTTTGTTCTCCAGCACAGCATTGTCAGGAAAGAGCAATCAGGCACACTGGGTTAAACAAATATTTATTAATAATGACAATAACACAATATTCAACACATGCAACATACAAGTTACTCTATTTACAAACAAGGATCTCCAGACCTACAAACAGCCTACTTCCTGACCAACCAGAAAAAACCCAGACTGCTCCCTTGCATTTTATATGATGCCTAAAGAGGCCAACAAGAAAGATAAACCTGTCATCCACATAAAACAGAACAGAACCTTGAGTTAAATCTCTCTTTTGGTAATTTTTTATGTTCCAAAGTGAATAGGACACTATCTCCCAACTTTTAAAAATGCACCCACTAACCAGGAAGGACTGGTTTTAACCTAGCGATTCTTTAGGTTTCCTAAAAACAACAGAATGGCAAGCTTTCTTAACAGGTCCATTTTATGATTTTCCCATGTTAGTCAGGCTTAGTTGTACTAAAATTCAAATTCAATGGACTTATTTTACACTATATGCTCGTGTAAGCATTTACTTATTCTTGCAATTCAAATAAGCACAAATGACTTCAATACATGGACTTGACTGCTTTCTAAATTCTAGGCATTGTGTTTTGATCATACACCAGCACACAATCAAGAAAACAAACACAACCCACATATAAGTGTATGCTTCAATACTGTAACACTTCAGGGTTCACATGGGGACCCTCGCCATTACCACATCAGGTCAGCCCCCAGGCCTCAACGGGGACTCAGCCTCTTGAGCCAAAGGGAAATCTCCTGTCAGCCCAGCAGCTGCGGTCCCTGCTATTCACAGGGAAGGGAGGTGACATCACCGCGCTGGTAAGCCAGCTCTCACAAGCAATGGAGGCCGTATGCATTACAATATATTTACCAGTGAGTCAATGGTCCTTAGGTTTTTCCTTGTATGAAGAATACAATATTGTTTCCTTCGCCAATATTTTTAATATTCAATTATTTTTCCTATATTCTTCCAGAGCACAGTAAGCTGGATGCCCTATCTGAGTTTTACAAGCATCTTGGCTGTAATTGCATCATTTTGTATTGGTCCAGGTATGTACTATACTATTACAAAATTGCTTTAAAAAATAAACATCCATTTCACTTAATAATTCAGATAATTTAATTCTTTAATGTCACTTTGAAACAGAAAAATGTGTTAACTGCATAAAAAGTGATTTGATAGTCATATGCTAATTATTATAAAGCCTTTCAAGTTATATATTTAAACATGTACGTATGTTTTTCACTTTCATATAGAATTATGTTAATCTACACCTTTTAAATTTTGCTAGACTCATGTTTAGGAAGAATAGCTTGGAAATAATCAAACAATGTGTTTCTTACCAATGTAGGAAATACACAGATTTGTTTCATTAGTTATTAAATACAAATTTATGTCTGCAGACTGATTGATTCAGCACATCTTCTAAGACAGTCAAATTTTGTTGAACAGTCATAGTTAAATATTTACTTTGTATAACTTTGAAGACCATGTGCTTTCGTGTTGACACTGTAAGAAATATCACAAAATCACAATAGTAATTGCAAATTTATTTTGCAAAGTTCTACCCTTGACTTAAATCACGAGTGAATTTCAGTAAAGCGTTTGTGAAATGTCTTACTAACATCAAATGAAAGTCACAGACTCTCTATGTATTATAAATACTGTAATATGTTATTGTTAAGAGCTGTTGATGTGGCTATTGAGTGTCTCAGGAGCTAGAGATAATGGTCTGCATCTACAGTAGCTACTGTATTTTCAACATTTGCAGTTCTTTAATGAAATAAGTAAGAAGTGAGGTGTTTGCTGAACTGTAATTAGTAATTAGAGACACATCGATCAAAAGGAATAATCTAGTTTACCTTAGTTATTAACTTCTAGGTAAATCATTACGAGTCACCAAGAGTCCAACACAGTACAAAACACACAAAGAAGAGAAACTAAATAGCTAGAAGAGTATGCAAGTGGACAGTGGAGAAATGGCAGAGTGAAAAAGGAAACAGAGGGAAAACTTCTGCCGGGTGAGAGGACAAAGATTCTAGTAAAGTATTTGAATCTTGTTTAAGAACGTTTACCATTCTTTTATTTTAGAGAGCTGTGATTTCCTTTATAAAGAATCCCTACTTTAAAAACATGAATGCATTTTTGAGAACAGGGAGAGAGGGCCCCAGTAACTTATTAAAATTTACAGGAAGAGCCATTTAAATCTAAGTCATATTTTGTTTTATTTAGAAGGCTGGTTTATCTTTCCTGTTGGCCTCTTTAGGCATTACAGTATACAGTATAGAATTTCTGAGTACAGGGTAGCAGTCTGGATTTTCTGGGTGGTCAGGCTGTAGATCATTGAGATACCTTGCTTGTACACAGGGTAACTTGTACAGATGCAGCCACTCAGAATGCAGGTTAAATGTCACGAAATAATTCACTGGCAAAAGATTTGTGGTGTGCTAGATGTTGGTGAAACAATTGCTTCATTTAATTAGTTTCCCTTTTGTACTTCTTTAAATCCACTTGATATGCTTAATATGGAATATTAATATATAATTATGTAACTAATGGGAAATTCTGGTAGCTGAAAAAAAACAAAACAAAATATAATAATGTATATTACAAATACTGTATATAGCTGATAGCAGTAGCCAAAATAAAATATTCCACCTTCTACATATACATGTTCCTTATTTAAGTCTTTTGAGGGCACCAGCTGTGATTATTTTGGAAAGGTTTTGATGTGTTTGTTCAAACTATATAAAGTTTATATACTTTATAAAATACTATAATGTTTTAACTTTTCCATGAATATTTGCTGTCTTTATTGTTGTAAATGATAGTGAAATGTTTGAAAGGGTCTAGTTTTGATCCCAGCCAAAATGCTGGAACAACAATTTCAACAAAGTGTCCCTTGGGCATAATTAAGACTTTCTCTAATAATAAAATAATACGTAAACAATTTTCATATTTCTGTTTTTACATAGCATAGTATGATACATTTTAAAATAATATTAAAAATTAAGTAATAACATGAAGGAACCACTAGAACAACAATTTCCAGAATGCTCAAAAAGAGCAAGGCAATTTAAAGACACTCTTAACATTTAATGGCTCCCAGTTTGTCTCTCTTGGAGAATTTAGGTCTGAACTTCTTAAATCTGGTGTTCCTCAGGGCTCAAAACTGGGCCCCATACTTTTCAGCATTTACATGTTTCCACTTGGTCAGCTTTTAAGATCACATGGCCTCAACTATCATTTCTAAGCTGCTAATACTCATTTCTACATCCATACCAAACCTGACACTGATGTGGCTGTCTCTCTTCTATCTGATTGCATCTCTGACATAAAAACATGGGAGACTCACAATTTCCTTCATCTTAACTGTGACAAGACTGAAGTCATACTTATTGGCACCCCCATCAACTTCGTAGAGCCAATGCTGTAACCCTATCTGTGAATGGTACTGTACTTCACCTTCGGTCTAAAGTGAAAAACTTGGGGGTTATATTTGATTCAGGCTTGACATTCGACCCACATGTGCAACATATTGTCAAAACATATTTTTTTCATCTCAAATATATTGCTAGACTATGTCCTACTGTATGTTATTGCTAACTGTGGCTGAAAATCTGATCAACACATTTGTCTTCTCCTGAATTGACTACTGTAATGCTGTACTTCCTGGGGTTTCTAAATCCACATTGAACAAACTCCAGTTTGTCCAATATTCGGCAGCCAGAATCCGGACCAGGTCTAGTGCAAGTGATCACATTACTCCTATCCTGGAATCCTTGCACTTACTTGGCTTACTGTCAAGTTTCGTGTTGACTTCAAAATCATCATGCTCACCTATAAGGCTCTGCATGGCTTAGCACCTCAGTACCTGTCTGAGCTACTATCGTCCTACTCACTACCTCGCAACCTTCGCTCTTCTGGCCTCCTATCTGTCCCCTTTATTCACTCTACGGGTGACAGGGCCTTCTCCTCTTATGCCCCAAAGCTCCGGAACTCTGTCCCCTCACTTTCTCTAAACTCCTTCAAATCTAGACTCAAAACTTTCTTCTTTAGATGAGCCTTAACTGCTTCTGTTCTTTATCCCTCTGTTCCTATTGTATTCAGTACCCCCATCTACTGTCTCCTCTCATTGTGTATATGTGGTGTATGTTTATTGTTGATGTTCTGTAAAGTGCTTTGAGAAGTCACCTTTAAAGGTGCTATATAAAATAAAGTTTATTATTATGTTTTATTATTATTAAACAGAAATCACAATGGAGTTTTTATGTGTATACAGTATATAGTTTTAAATACTAATTTAAAGCCACTATGCATATTTTAAATTATAAATTTTAAAAGTTGACATAATTATGGTCTTTATAATCATTTAGCTTCATCAAGCTGTTAAAGCATCTTCTTGCCTGGTTCATCTTAATGTTTCTGATGCAGCACCAGAGCAAGTGTTTCATGCTGTGTTGGTGCATTGTCTCTTCGCAGTGTGGGGGGCACTGCGCTCTTTTATTTTCAGTCTCTTTCTTGTCAAAAAAAACACAGAACAAAAGCCCATACAGCTTAAGAGGAATTTGCAGCCATTTTCATTTTTTTTGTGATGCCACTTCGAAGTGTAATTGAAAATGAAACAAACTGTAAATAAAATGGCTGCTAGGTCAACTGTAGAGATGAAATCAAATAAAAAGATAAGTTCTTTGCAGTTTAATATCTGACACGACCTCAATACAAATTCCCAATAGTTACTGATGCTGCTTTATCTTATGAACTCACATTCCCATTAAAACCACAGGGTGACGTTCTGGCAGCATCAACATCTCCTGGTTACTAATGCACCTTACCGTAAGGTAAGTTATGGTACATGACAAATTATTTCAAATGACTACACAAAAATCTGTGTTAATTTACTTTTAAATCTGACATTTTTAAAGACTAATATATTTATTTAAGATTTTAATTGTAAAAATATACTTGTTCTGATCATTAAATCTAATTAATATGTATACTATATTGATGTTTTATTATTTTTATATATCACAGTACATTTGAAATTCACTTTACATTCACAATCTCTTAAATCCATAGCTTATGGGATGTATCAGATATTAAACAGGAAGAGGGCCAGGATATATTCATATTTACTAATGTAACACTTGGTGAAAGTGTGTCCTGGTGCTCTTTGAATCTTTACAGCCTCAATAAGCAAAACATAATACCTGCTGGATACACCGTGATTTCACATTCAGGTGTCAAATACAATAGGTTTATTTATATGTGTTTTAAAATGTAATCTGTTGTAATCGTTAATACAATGGTGAACATGATATTTCTGTAATCTACTGTTTATCCCCTAATATTGCAGTTCAGTTCAGTTTATTTGTCATATGCATAAATAAAATGAAATACTTATTTGCATTTATGCTTTGATGCAAAGACATTAAAGAATCACAAAACATAAACATAGAACAGCAGCAGCAACAACAAGTTAAATAATGTACAACTTTAAAAAAGGAAGTCAGACAAGCAGTGTGAGAATAGAAAAAACACATCAATGTGAATGGTAATGTAGGTGTACAATGTAGATGAGTTTAGTCAGTGGTATGGGTAAAATTCAGTAATCTGACAGTTTGTAGGAAGAAACTGTCTCTGAATCTGGAGGTTTGTGCCTTAATGCTCCTATAACACTTACCAGAGGGAAGGGATGAGAAAAGTGAGAAACCATGATGAATGTTGTCTTTTGCAATACTTTCAGCCTTCCTGAGACAGCGAGTTGTAAAATTGTACACAATAAAGGGAAGCTATATTCCAGTTATGGACGGGCTTGAGCTGATTCTCCCTTGTAATGCCTTTCAGTCAGACAACAAGCCGCCTCCAAACCACAGTGTAATGCCACACGTAAGCAAACTTTCAACATAGCACCTGTAGAATGAAGAAAGGTCAGTTGAAGATAGACCAAAGTTTTTCAACTGGCTGAGGAAGTAAAGGCACTGTTGTGCCTTCTTTTAGCTCTAGTTACATACTGGGACCACATTAAATCATTAGTAATGAAGGTACA